CAGGAACTTCTCTAGAACTTCACCTCTACCATCTCCCTTTGGAGCACCACGTCACGGGTCTTCACGCACCCACAGGAACAGGGGCAGTGTAACTTGGAAACACAGCTTCCGCGTGACGTACCATGGTGATTCCAAACTAGGGATCCCCCCCTTGCCACGGAAAGACCGAGCCATCTCACAGTACGCGCCAGTAAGCCTCATTTCCTCTCTTAGAGGAACCTCCCATACCACAGGCACTGAGTGCCTTTTCTTCAGAAAGATGAATCAAAAGGCTCAACCTAGCAAAACTCTCGAGTGACTCACACCACACACACAGCAAACCAGCGCTGCTGTCTTCTCACCTGCCCAGCTTCTGTCCTTCTCCAGTAAAAGCTTTGAAGACACTTTTGGGTTTCACGTACTCCTCATCACGGTGATCCTCCATATCCAGGTTCACTTGTCCGCCCCGTGCTAACCTGCGCAGCTCTGCCGGGACTTCCCTGCAAAGAGAGTGTCCTAAGGCAGCTGCCTGAAGAAGCAAGTCAGGAAAGTGCAGAGAAAAAGTGCCAGCCACAGACCTCTGGAATTTCAGGAATCGCAGTGAGCCCTTGCTTAATTAACAGGGCAGATGCACACCTCCCCACTAACAGACACAAATTAAAGGTTACTCCTCCCTGGCCCTCACCTGGAGTGACACGATGCATCAGAAATTCTCAGCCCAAATATGAAAGTTTGTTTGTTCACTTCAAACTCTCAAGGCCCCATACAAACCAAAGCCACTTCCCATCTCTCTGAAGTAAATGGTCAAGTCTGCCCTCCCATAGTTTCCATATTAAGAATATGTATTTCTCTTGTAAGAAAGCTCAGGTGAAACGTTCCCTTGATTCAGCATCCTGGATTCCACAAACGCTTGTGTTTCAGAAAACAGCTATTCTTTCTCTCCCCTCTTGCTACATACCCTCTGCGGATATCATCAAGAAACTGGGCATTGGACGGATCCTGGTAGCTCCTCAGTTCTCCGCTATCCAGACTGAATCCACTCTTCCAGAGCTTCAGTACAACATGCACCTGCAGCAGCCCCCAAACGACAATCAGCCTCACTGAAGCATCTTAATAAGAACAATAACCGGACGCAAAGTGAAAAGTTCCTGACCGGCAGAGGAATTTCAAGGTGCAGAAAACATTCCAGCCAGGATCCTCTGGGTTGAGGCAAAAACCCAAAGCACTGGCTATGTAATGGTCATGCATCAATTCCTAGAAGGTGGCACCACAGACCCCTTTTCGGTAAATATGAAGTGCCAAGAGCGTGCTAGGCGAGGAGCCTAAACCAAGCTCCCACCACGACTTAGACGCCTATTTGGTCACAAACCAGTCACGAGAGAATCTTGCATTGATGCTGTTAGCTCCACACCTCTTCAACGGATAAAGAAGAGTTAATCGCCCAGTGCCCTTTGCACGCTATTTTTCACAATCTGCACTTCTAAGGAACGCTCAGATTCTTAATTAAATGTTCATCAGAAAACTGCTTACCCAAGACCCAAGCATCTACTATTTTCTAATCAGAAATCCCAGGAGAAGCAGGATTTACCATACTTCTGTCCTCTTGAATTTCTATCAAGCTTTACAACTCTCTGGGCTCACAAGCTGTGTAGCTATAGCAGAGAAATCCCTCAGGTGACGTCTACAAAACAGAACAGAGAGATACTCACATCCTGAGCAGAGTTCTGTCTCCTCTCTCCCGCCACATAAGCAGACTCCTCCTCTGGAGTAGCCCCAAGGCGATACCCTCCCCCTGCGAAAGGCTGCAAGAGAGAGGGGCAGGCAAAGTGGTTATAGAATGACACAAACCCAAGACAGCTTGCTTCCCTTTCCCCAACACCGATACGGATGAACAGGGGGGCTTCGTGGCATCAGCAACATCAACTGTCCTGCAGGCACAGTGACCAGCTTGAACAAGTTAACAAATACGGCACAAGGAAGTGGCTCTTCTTGCCACCGTGCCACACGAATTGGAGCTGCACTAAGAGGAGTCCAGACTTAGCTGTCCTTTTAAGATAATTCCCGGACTCCGCAGTACCAAACAGCTGTCGTGGTGGGAGCCTTAACTGAAACGGGGAACAGAAGGAAGAAGAACTCATCACTCCTCACTTTAGGCTTGCTAGTCTCGCCACTGCTCTTGGCCGTCCGATCGACCGCCACTGCACCGTGCTCCTTTGCTCCTTTGAAGAGATCCTCCACCAGCTCATTGGGACTCTTCTTCCTCGGAGGACCAACGATCTGCTGTCCGCTTCTCTCTGAGCCGCCGGCATAAAACCTAACAGAAAGCACACGGCTTCTGGGTAAGACTGGACTGCTGCTTCTCCAGGAGACACATGTGACAAGACCCAGCAGTTTTATATCAGGATTCAGTTCGGTTTTGTACCGCTTGGATCCACAAATATTAGCTACTACCAGTGGATCTCCTACTGTAGCCACTTACAAGTTCCTGTACTGCAGAGCCTTTGTTTTTATGTCAGTTACTGTAAAATTATCCATTGAGCAATAGTGATAAAGCGATAATAACTCTCTCAGACCTAGCAAGAGGAACAGTTCAGACTGACAAGGCTCAGTTTCAAATGCCAGTACCAGCTGTGTTACCAAGCTGAGCAAGACCTCCAGCGAGTCTCTGACCTGTCAGATGGAAGAAGATGGGCAACATCTAACCGGTATTTTGAGGGACGGCACACGTTCATGCCACGCTGAAAGACCACCACACACGGGACAGAGCTGAGCTGGAAGCAATGAACGCAGTCAGTGAAGTGCAGCTAAGCACTTCTGGAAGACTGGGTTTATTAGCTTCCAGCTGGCTTGTAACACACGCAGAGCAAACTCACATCTGTGTGCAGATGACCACGCAGCCTACCTAGGCTGAGCCACCTTAAGATTCATCAGTTCCATTCCATTTACCTCGGCTGTTAACCTTGAGGGTATTTAACTACTTGCAGCTGACATGGTAGATGACTTTCCCACTAGCATGCCATCTTCCCATTGGAAAGGGGACCTACCTTTTTCTTTCCACCTCCACACTCCATTACATTACCCTTAAGCAGCACTTAAAAAAACCCCCAAAACCCCAACCAAAAAAAAACCAAAACCACAAAACCCCAAGCAGAAAGAAAAACAATCCCTGCATTATTCCCACATTGGGAATAATGTGGGAATGATGGGAATAATTAACCTGGGCTTTTTTCTATTCTTAACCTAGGGCTTGCACATCCTACCTCAGGCTTTCTCTCAACAGCACAATTCAGCGATGAAAACTGGTGTCTATACAGCAGTGCTGAGCACGTGCTTGTACGCAGACTTTGCACTGACCAACCCTTCCACGCCAAACCTGAGATTTTTCACTACAGGAATTTCGTATCGACTTAAATCTGCCTTTTAAAAAAAAACTGTGCTCAAGTGGTAAGCCATCACAAAGGACAGGGATACACACACAGCTTTTAAGTCTTTAACTGAAAACTTACCGCTGTCCCTCCTCCTCTTCATCATCATCCTCCTGCGCATGAACAAGGTCTCTAAACGATGTTACTCTATGGTCACTGCAAAAGTCAATCAGAGAAGTACGTCAGCCTCATGACACATTTCAACCACACAAGCAAAAGCTCCTGAACGCAGCGGTTAGGTTGACTCTGTCCCACTTTTAGAGTCTGATTCATCCCTCTATGAAATGACAGGTCAGCGCTGGGGTCACCGAGCGCTGACCCGAGCTCTCGGACCTCTCTGCCAACTACACCAACAGAAAACAGGAGCAGGTGCATTGGAAGAGGCTCAGGCGGCGGCTGCAGACACAGCAAAAGCGGCGAGTCTTCAGTCACCTTCCTCGCTTGCGCACCGGATTTTGTTGCCTCTTTCAAAGAGCCTGCACAAGCACAGGTTTCTCTTCCAGGGCCCAGGACAGTCCAGCCTCCCCGCCCTTCCCCTCTTGTTGTTTCTGCCGAGGCCGTTAGCCGGGATCCAAACCGAAACAGGGTTCTTCTGCAATATGGACTTTACTCACCACAGCCCGAACCGACAGCACTTTCCCTTCAAGACACAGTCGGTAACTCCTTTTCTTTACAACTGGACAGCACTTCCCTACTGCACAGGGTTTGGTAAGGCGAAATGAACTACTTCTTGTAAAATGCTCGAACTGACCAGTTCAGGTGTCACACAAAATTAGAACATATTTTTCCAAATCTCAACCTGCTCAAATGAAAGCGTCACCAACCGATTGTCTTCTAACCTCAAAAGACAAATCAAGTTTTTCCTGAGCAGTGAGGCAAGTTGTCCTAACTGATCTTTGGATTAGTTGTGCAATAACGTCTGCGCTTGCGATGTACAAATGCTGATGTTTTCACAATTGCTAGAGAGCCATACGAGGTGAAAGAGATCGAAACGCAGAGCTATTTCTCCTGAAAATGAACACGCATCAACGCTTCAGACAGAGCTTGCGGTTTTACAGAGTTTTCACTGTCAGGTTTACAAGCCGCCGATAAACAGATCGGCCTGAGCCGAAGCTCCCTCCTCACCTGGCTGCAGTGCCTCTGGATATAGAGCTGGGTGCCGGCTGGGGAAGAGTCAGAATGTCCTCGTCACCCCCGTCCTCGTAGAAACTGGCAAGCGCGATCTGGAAAGGAACACGGCAGGAGCTTCTCAGGATGAGAAAACGCTCCAGAACAACGGCAAAACCACACACAAACAACACAGCTGAAGCTTCCGCCGCGTTGGACCTCTTAAGGCACGTCAACGCTAAACACGTTTCGTGTAATTTCCCCCTTCGGAGGTCCTAGCAAAGACGAGGCTTTGCCAAATTGTGATGTTTGGCTTTGTCACGGTAGGACGCTCACCACTACCGGTGTGCCAGAGCAACCTTCCCCACCGGAGGCCCTTCTTCTGCAATATTTCTACAGGGGTTATGCTAAAATTACTGTTCTCAACCAGCTGCTTTTGTCACATCCGTGAGTAGACTCGGAGTTTAACACGGCCAGATGGTTTGAGGGGGACGGGAGACGGGGGCGGGTCAGAGCGGTGGCCGATCTCCCCCTTAATTTGGGGGTGCTGGGACTGCCGCTGACGGTACGGACAGCAGAGCACTAACAACCTCGCGAGCATTCAAGGAAAACCTGCGCAAACCCGGCAAAACCCAGGACCCGCCGGTTCCTCGCCCCGTGCTAGAAATTAGCTGTGGTCAAATTAACGAGAGAACCAGGACTCGGTCCCAACCA